AAAAAAAAAAAAAAAAAAAAAAAAAAAAAAAAAAAAAAAAAAAAAAAAAAAAAAAAAAAAAAAAAAAAAAAAAAAAAAAAAAAAAAAAAAAAGAAAGGAAAAGAGAACAAAGGGTTGGAATATACAAAAACACTCTAAAACTCGTGTGTCAAACTTGTTATCCAACAGGCCGGAGGGAGTTCAGTAGATAGAATCACTCGTCCATGGACTTGTTCAAGTCACCAGTATAGATCTGACCGGGGCGCCAGATTCTTGGGGGATTGCCTACGTCCGTGTCAGTAAAATGCTTCGGAAATAATCAGGGTAGAGTCTAGCATACCCATGGCCTCCCTCCAGTGGGCCATAAATCCTTGTGTACGAGAGAGGATCGACAGAGGCAGGATGAATTCGGGCGGGAAACCACTAAAACGCAGGATTAACACCACTATACTCCGAAGACTACAGGAAAAAGGAACATACAGAGCCTTGTAGACAAACGCGGCGAACAGATCTGCGTTGGGGCGGAGATTCCTGGACGTGAAGTACTCATCTTCGGAGGCAACACGGTCGACTTCGAACGCAACCTTCAGCAATGGGTCTTTCTCGACTTCCTCGGACAGCTCATTGAGAATTTGGCGAATGAAGACAAATCGAGGATCCGTCACACGATATACTCGGTGGCCGTAACCATACAGACGCTCCTTACCTGCCTTGACTCGTGCGATCTTAGCAGGTACATTGGCGATGGAGCCAATGCTCTCAATGTTCTTGTAAGCCACTTCAATGGCTCCGCCATGTAGAGGACCGTACAGTGCCGAGATGGCGGAGACCATGCAGGAGATGACATCCGGTAGGGCGGATGCGGTTTGCAGAAGGGCGGCGGTGGAGCAGGTCATTTCATGATCGGCAATCAGTACCCAGAGTCGCTCAATAGCATTCACGTATCGCGGATTTGGCAGACCAGTGGTCTCCTCAACATGACCAGTCATGAGCAGGAAGTTCTCGATGTACGAGAGCCCCGAGCGGGGTGGAGTGAAGTCGCGTCCGATGTGATGGCAGTATGCCGCCGCGGTCAACATAGACATGTTGGCCATGACCCGAATGATTTGCTGGTCGGCCAGCTCGGGATTATTCAAATAGATGGTCTTTCCCACATGAGCGGGGATCGCCTCCATATCACTGGACTGGAGTGCTGATAGACCGGCGATGACCATTCCCATGAGGGAACCATCTCGTCTGTTGAAGGTCAGCAGGGAGCACACATTGGAGAGATAATCTGGGAGAAGCCATACGGAAAGGATTTGATCACATTGAAGACAAACTCCTCAGGGACTGGAACCTGGTCGAGGCGCTGTTGAAGGGTTTCGGCCTCGGCGGCGGAGGGCCAGTGGCCCCAGATCAACAGATGCGCGGTATCGATAAACGTCTTGCGTCCGACGATGTCGTTGATGGAGTACCCACGGTACTGGATGGTACCCTTGAGTCCATCGATATAGGTGATCTTGCTGTGACTCACGGCGGTGTTGGAGTAGCCTGGGTCGTAAACCCGCAGCCCATTCTCCGTCTGGTTGGCAGGGTAGGCTTTATCTTCTGGTGCGGTGACCTTCTTCAGGTCGCTGGCATTGATGGCATTGTTTTGAATGGGAATCGAGTAATAGGACCCAGTGCGGTCATCAATAATGTGTAGCGCTTCCCGCTTGGGCGAAGTCTCTTGGATGACGGTCATGATGGATGGGTTTAGTAGCAAATGAAAGGCGATGAGGATGTAATTGGGAGTCTATTTGTCGAGGTCTAGTAGTCTCAACCGGCCGTATTTATGTCATCAGAGTGGACAAGTGTATAGCCATGAATCGGAGCAATAATGTGCCCGACTTATACAGCAATGTAACTCGGATCGATTATGAATACAGGTTGGGAATGGCCTCGTGTGTGGATCTCGGCCAACGGCGGCCGATGCGCGATCCAACGACCTCCGGGGGGGTTCAGGGCCCGCTGTACGATAATCAGCCGTACCACTCTTATCTCAGGTTCGAGGCGGCTCCAAGGCCTATGGACAATGCATTAGCCATGATCCTTCCTGGCCCGTGTACCGGGGATTTTGACTCTACCATACGCCGGCTCGCTCTGACTACGTCGTTCCCACGGGAGCGCTGTACATGTGGCAATAAAAGGCCGATGGCACCGAAAGATGTTGCAAAAAGCCAAAAGATAACGTTATCTTTAGTGTCACCTTTATATTGTGAAGAATTCTATTTAGATGTTCATGCCCCATACCTTTAATATAATCACTTCTGTCTTGAGATAGCCACACGAACCACGAGAACGACGGTCACGACAACAAAAACGACAGCCACGCCAGCAGCAGACTGTATTCATTCTACAACAGCCATGGTTCAACGCAAGGAGCCACCGTCAGAGCAGCTTAGAGCCTACACATTACTCATTGAACTTTTGTCGTATGTGCCCTATCCCTGGAAACGTGTAACATGCTAACATATCATAGCTACCAATTTGCCTTTCCCGTTCGATGGTGAGACTTTCTCGTCGCCAAGATCACATCTACAAACTGACGCGGATGACCAGGATTGAGACACAAAATGATCTTATCCAGCGGAATAATACTATCCAGCGCTTCATTGAAGTGGGACCGTCCAATGTCTTAGCGAACATGGCGAAGAAGACTGCCAAGGGCCAGTACGGGGAAGAGGACCTGGTGCGCTGCATAGACCGTCAGTACCTATCGCACGCCGACGATGCCCAGCACATCTACTACCATTATGATGACGAGCCACCGGTGGAGAGCACTAAGGATGAGCTGGCCCAACCGGTTGCTTCTTCCACCTCCGCGCCGGCACCAGTAGCCATGCCTGCTGTGGCAGTCCAAGCAGCCCCCCAGCCAGCTGCCCAGCAAGCCGCCGCCGTGCCAGATGTCGACTTGAGCCCAATCGACGTTGTCATTTCCATAGTAGCTCAGAAGATCCGCAAAGCCTTTGATGAGGTACCTGCGGCTAAGTCTATCCGCGATCTATCTGCTGGTATGTTCTGTGTCTATGGCTGCCCATTGTGTGTTCGCTCTAACCCGATTAGGTAAATCCACATTACAGAATGAGCTCATCGGACAGCTAGATGCAGAGTTTCGCGGTCTGCCGGAGGGAAGTGAAGATCTCACGCTGGAAGCGCTGGCCACCCACTTCACGAATTTCTCTGGACAACCGGGAAAGGTGATGGGCGGACATGTGGATCGCCTCGTGGCTGCCCGTATGCCTGCAGGCTTCAATCAAGCCAAAATACGGGAATATCTCTCCTCAAACTGGGGGCTAGGTGCCAACCGGCAGACCGCCGTCTTATGCTTTGCAGTCACAATGGAACCAGCTGCCCGTCTTGCAGACGCCGGTCAGGCAACCCAGTTCCTAGACTCAGTGGTTAGCCGGTACGGCGGAAAGGCCGGTGTAACTTTACAGAAGAGGGCGGAGGGCGCCGCTTCACAGACGTCTGCTGTGGCCCAGGTCGACCTGGCTAGCATCGAAGCCCTCAAGAAAGATCAAAATGAGTACTTACACAAGCAGTTCCAGCTCCTGGCCAAGCATCTGGACTTGGATGGTGTGGCAGAGCCCAGTCAAGTACAGGTGCAAGGAGAGGAAGCGGATAAGCTGGATGAATGGGACGCAGAGTTTGATGAAGAGTTTCTCACTGGCATGCGCACAATCTTCGACCCGCGGAAGGCTCGTCGGTATGATTCATGGTGGAATACGGCCCGAGAGGACCTCATCGCTTTGTTGCACGACATCCGTCCTGTTACCGAGGACAAGGCCTCGCAGCGATACCAAAGTCTTGTGAACCGATGGTCACCGGAGCTAGAACAGATGCTAGACCAAACTGCCCAGGATAACAACATCAAGGAGAAGGCTGAGAAGCTGATCAAAGATGTTCGCGCTTCGGGCGTAGCCAATGGCCCCGTATTCCGTTATGCCCAGCCTGCTATGGCACCCGAGACAAAGGTTGATGCCAATGGGCGCATCCAGTACTCTGAGGTGCCTCGCCGCCAGGCCAACGGTGACAAGAATGTCTCCACCTTGAACTACGCACAGGTGGTTGCAGCTCCACACCGCAACGTGCCGTACGCGCACCTCCGCAGTCGAGCCGGCGTAGATTGGACGTATGATGCCCAGCTTACTGACATGTTCCTGAATACCCTATCCACCGGAGCCTCGAGCGGACTTTCGTTTGCTGGCAGAAGAGTGTTGGTGACCGGTGCTGGAGTTGGATCCATTGGAGCAGACATCGTGGCGGGTTTGCTTGCCGGTGGAGCTCGCGTCATTGTCACCACCAGTCGCCAGCCTTCAGATGTCGCTGTATCCTTCCGCCAGCTCTATGCGAAGGTCGGTGCACCCGGGTCAGAATTGATTGTCCTGCCATTCAACCAAGCCAGCAAGCGTGACTGCGAGGATCTGATCACGCACATCTACGACGAGCAGTCAGGATATGGATGGG